GTGCCGGGTGTTTGGTGAGGCAGCGGGCGGCGTGGGCTCAGCCGGCAGTGGGATGGACGGAGAGGCTGTGCCATCCGGGAGCTGTGCGGGGTGTCCCTGTGCAGGGTGAGAAGGTGTGGGCAGCATGTGTCCCAGGTGCTCGATGGGTGCCCAACAGACCCAGCAGGTTTGTGGGTGCCATACTGGGGCTGTGTGGGTGAATGTGCTGTGTGTGGGCTTCAGGAGGCTTGTTTGATGAGCTGTGGTTTACAGAGGCCAGTGGAGCCTCAGGATTTCCATGAAAAATAGAGTTTGCTGTAGCCCTCAGAAAAGAGGATGAATGAAGAGATGTGAGGTATGAGGGCTGGGGAGGCTTGAGAGGCATTTTCTTGTCACTGCTGGCCTTGCATCTTCCCAGTGCTCTCCAGAGGAACAGGCAGGCAATGGAGCAGGTCACCCATCTCCCAGCAGCTCCAGGCAGGCTGCCACTCTGCTCTGGGGTCCCTGGGCCCCCCCAACACATCACTTGCCCCTCAGCCTTTCTGGGCTGTCGAGATCGTGTGGCTGATGACTACAGTGTCTGCACATTCCTCCGGGGTCTTTCCCTCCTGCTTGCAGCTGGTTCCTCGCAGGGCTGCCCCTCCAGAGCCCAGGGCAGCCCAGAGAAGACAAGTCCCTGGCAGAGCTGAGGGCCCTGCTGTGTTCTGGGGAAAGTGGGTGGCAGGAGAACTGCAAAGAGCTGTTCTGTGACCTGCCCTGGCTTAGAGGGTGGCAGTAGGACAGGGGGACATCAGCCCAGTGGAACTAGACCTAGAGTCAGCAGGGGAAGGGAAGCATGGCCCAGCATGTCAGTGCTCTGCCCCAGCTGATGCCCTGACAGCCCTGGAGCTGAGTGCTGTCCCCAGCAGTGTCCCTGTCACTGCCCAGGATGGGGGCACGCAGCGGGGTGGTGTGGACAGGCACCCTGCCTTTGGATGGTGGGGGCAGTGAGCTCCCAGCCAGCAGGAGGTGGATGTTGTGGGAGGTGTCACCAAGCCTGCTGGGGTGGCCAGGCTGCTGTTGTGGCCCTGGGCTGCCCCAGGACCAGCCCAGCTGAGGACCCATGCTGCCCTCAAGAGCTTGTCTGTGCCCACCCCAGAGCTGCAATCCCATGGGATCTCTGCAGTCACTGGCCGGCTGGTCGTGGCCTGAGCGGGGTGGGGGTGTCAGGGCTCCCCCAGCTCATGCACACGTGCTCCCAGCACCCCAGTGCTGCTGGGAAGCCGGAAGAGCAAAGCAGGCCCATCCAGGCAGCCGGGATTGCGAAAGGGCCGGCGCTGGGCTGCATGTGCTGAGGCTCTGGGGAGAAGGGGAGGGATGGAGCCCAGCGCCCAAAGCCATGGGACCCACCAGACCTTCTCCTGCCCCCAGTGCAGGGACGTGACCCTGCGTTCTTGGGGATGTCCTAGTGTGGGCCTTTGCAGAGTGTGACCGTGTCAGCCCTTAACCTTCCCAAGGAAGGATAAACAGAAGGAACATCCTCCTTGTGCTGGCGGCTTTCCCAGTTCTTCGGTCACTTTTGCTGCTCTTCTCTGAGTCCTCCCTGCTGTCAGTGCCTGGGTTGCTCCGTGTCCCTGTGCATGCATCCAAGGCCACTGCTGAGAAAGCATGTTCCTGTGGGCCTGGCCCTTCCCTGCTGCTGCTGCCGGGGATGTTGTCCCTGTGCCATAAGGATGCCCCATTCTTGGCTGCCCTAACATGTGCTAATCAAACACCCTAACGTGCCAGGGGCCTCTGTTCTTCAGGAATTGTCACTTCTCCAACTCTGTTTGTCATTCATCTGGGTTTTGCTGGGATGGACTGATGTCCTTCTGAGTGCCTAGTGAGTGGCACATCAGCTTCACATAGTCCTTGGGAGCCACCAGCTCCCCCAGCCTCTAGGCACCCCTTGTCTGCATCGCTCACCCCTCTGACGCTGCCATGCCCCCCCAAGAGGGACAGCCCCTCAGTCAGGGGAGAGGACCGATGGTGGGGGTGCTGCAGGCCCTGCCAGCATGTCTGGAGGGGACATGGGAGCTCCCATTATTCCCTGGGACAGGCAGGGCCGGTGGGGCTGTCGTGGCAGCAGGTTGAGCAGCGCTGCGGCTTCTGCTCCTGTACAGGGCTGCCCGTTGCCCCAAGGGGTCCCTGTGCCCCTGCCAGGCTGAGCAGTGCAGGCTGAGGCCGGGGTGTGTGGGGAGCCCCAGGACCCCAGCGCTGCCAGGCTCTCGGATGCCCTGCTCTGCCGTGGGCTGGGGGTGGCTCAGGGCGCTGCCTGCTCCCAGCTAGGACATTCCTGAGGTTTCCTGGGCAGTGGTGAGGATCTGGGCTGCTCTCCGGCTCCCACGCCCAGTGTTCCCTCAGGCCAGCCCGTCCTCCCCAGCCCTTCCTCCCGGGAGCTGCGGTGCCTCGGAGCTGCTCCCGTGCCCGGGCAGGGAACTGAGCACGGCACAGCCCAGTGGCCGTGGCAGCATCTCCAGTGCCTGGCTGAAGCAGGCAGTAGGGCTGCAGGGCGCTGGGGCAGGCCAGGCTGGGCACCTCTGTTCAGAGGTGGGAGAGATGGAAAATTCCCCCCTGGGACTCTGATGCTGGTTGATCAGCCCCTCCAGGGTGGAGGGACCCCCAGCTTGTCTGTCCCAGACAAAGGGCCCCAGCCCTGGCACAGTCTCGTGCTGTCCTGCTGGGTCCCTCTCGGCTGTGTCAGGGGAAGGGGCCCTGGGCTGAAACCAGGAGATGCTGCTCAGGGATTAGCCCCATCGCCAGCCTGGAAAGCTGTGCCACAGCTGCCGGGGTGTTGGGAGCAGAGGCAGGACTGGGAGTAGAGCCTGGCAGCAGAGCAGGGAATCTGGGCAGCGTCACACGGCAGGAGAGGGGCAAACGCGCTGCCGGCGTTTCCGAGTGTGGAAAAAGTGATGGGGACAATGAGAGCCCTGTTAGCCTGAGCTCCCCAGCAGCTGGACTCAGGGCACGTTCAGAGAGGGAGGGAGAGCAGAAATAGGGACACGGCTCGTCCTGTGCCCCAGGGAACTCACACTGTCAGCACGACAGCTGTCCCAGGTTGGGTGTGGGAACTGTGGCCTGTGCAGACCTCAGCAGGGCATTTCACTGGGAAATTCTGAGAAGCAGCAGAAGCTGAGGACAGGCTGAGCTGCAAGGGCAGAGGGAGTTCAGTGGGAATGATGGATATTGGTGCCTGAGCAGAGGAAAGCCATGACCCAGGAGGAGTGTGCTGAGGGTGGCAGCAAGCTGGGGTTAATGCAGAGATGGATGGCAGAAGTTTGAGCAGGTTCAGAAGAAACCGAAGGATAGTGAGGAAGAGAAATCCACAGTGAGCTTTTAAATCTGGAGGCTGAGGTAGCTGAGCTGGGGGTGAAAGAGGAAGGCATCAGGAGGACATCACTGTCCTGCCCCAGTGGGCTGTGTCACTGTTGTAGGGGTTGGAGTCCTGGGCTGGGGCACGTTTGTGGCAGCCTCACACAACCCTGCAGCTTCCGCCTTGAGCCCCACGGCATCAGGACATGGACGCTCTCCCAGCACTGGCTCTCCTGGCTGCACCCCAAGCCCAGCCAGACGTGGGGCCAGGTGCTGGCCTGGCAGGGCTCTGAGACCACAGGTACTTGTGGGACTGCCCCACATGGCTGCAGGGCTGGCCTGGCACCTTGCACCAGCCTGTGCTGCACACTCCCTTTCTGTCTTGGCAGACAGTATGAGGAGAGGACTTTTTTCCTCCTCCAGACACAGTTTTGCCTTGAAAAGCATGTGATCCTCACCAGAAAGCCCACTGAATGGTGACTTCTCCATTGTGACCATGTTTTCCAGCAGGTGACCAGTTTTAATCCACTTAGTCGAAGGCGCACTGATTTTGTTGAGTGCTAATTATTCGTTAAAAGGTGGTGCAAGATGAACTGAATGCCTTCCAGTCCTAGGCTGTTATATCAACACAGTTACTTCAATTAACCAAACCTGTGATCTCATAAAAGGTCAAGCCAGCTTTCTGACACAGGCTATTTCTGCAGAATTCTGGAGATTGGCATTAATTGTGTTGCTGTCTTAGAGTGTAGCACTGACCCCACTGCAAAGCAGCCCAGGCTGCCCTCAGCCCCTGCCAGCAGAGAAGGTCTTGCTCCTTCAGTGCAAGTGCTGCTGAACTTGAGTCCTTATGTGCTTGCATCTTTCACTGTCTCCCAAAGTGTGTTACAATTAGCACAGAGAGGGCCCAAATTTGTATAATGCTTCATTTGGGCAGAGGGAATTTTCCCTCAGTGACTGATGGGCAGAATAAGAAATGGTTTATTACTGCTGTGAGGTGGTAAACTCATCCCTTTGCTGCTTTCCAGACAGGGCAGAGATGTGGATGGAGCATTCCTGTCCTGCTTGCACCTGGCTAAGCCCAGAGACCCCCTTGCTCGAGGAGCTGGCAGGGCTGGGGTGGCTCTTTGTGCCTGCCCTCCTCTTTTTCCTGCCATAACAGGCTGATTAAAAGGTTCAGCAAAGCATTTCCCTGCTGCCTGCCCACAAATACTCTTCCTGCTGGGCTGTGCTTTGTTCTCACGGTGCCAAAGCAGGCAGCTGAGCTCCCACCAACCCCAGGGCTTGTGGGTTGCCTTGAGCTGGGGCACATTCTTGCTGATGCTGTGTCTCCATCAGCACTCTGGTGTCCCCAGGCTGTGAGAGAGGAGGGACCCGGACCTGGCGCTGATGTGATTGTCACAAGGTGTCACACCTGGACTGGTTCTGCTGGTCCTTGTTACCCCTCACCTTCTCCCTGAGCAGCCCTGTGGGTACCAGGGGCTGACCGCAAGGGACACCCTGTTCTTGGTGGCACCTCCGAGATGGCACATGCCCTAAGGGGCAGTGCTGGGCTCTGTCAGGTGTTTGTGTTGGTGCCAAGGGCATGGAGAAGGGGCTGTCTCTGGGCCCTGCCCTGTTTCGTCCTTGCCTGAGGGCCAGAGGCCTGGGGGGTGACCTGGGCTCCATCATCTGGAAAGTGAACAGAGCAGGAGCAGGGCACATTCCTGTCAGCCTGGCCTCTGTGGGAGCCCTTCCTCGAGGGTGGTGGGTGTGCTTCCCCCATGGAAGGGGGTGGCTGGGGTGTGTTGTGGGACAGGCAGGTCACCGTGCTGGTGGTGCTGGGAGAGCATCACAGCTTTGCCACCGGGACAGCCCGGAGCGAGGCTGACCCTGCTGCTCTAGCTGGGCTGCTGCGGCACCCGAGGGCTTAAAGTGGTCCCTGATGGGATAAGGGGGAATGGGGCAGGAAAGGGTTCACAGAGAAGTTTTTTCACCATTGTTTGCCGGCTGGGCTGGTGCAGGAATACCACATCTCCCTCAGGTACTCAGTGAGCCACAGAGGGTGTTGGAGGGCGGGAGAAAAGCGGCACAGGAAGGCGAGGGCTCCGGCTGCGCTCGTTGGCGGGGGG